AAAAAAAAAAAAAAATAATACTAGAAAAAAGGAATGATTATGTGTTGCGATATTATTATGTTTCATAATTATTGGTTCACTGCACAAATAGAAAAAAGGAATGATTATGTGAATCTAACTTAGGGAAATAGATGTGGCTGATTTGATGCGTGGGGAAAGGGCGGCCCATGATGACACTGTGACGTGTGAGTTTCAGCTTTTCTTGTGAGGATGGAGTTTGGTGGCGACATTAACATAAGGCTACAAAATTACCAAGTTTCGTGCAGTCTGTTGAGAGAAATTTTGAAAACGAAAATTGGAAAATTACTATTTTATAAATTATAATAGTGAATTTTTCTTAGAAGAAATTGTATTTTTATTCTATAAGCAATTTATAAATTATAATAGTGAATTTTTCTTAGAAGAAATTGTATTTTTATTCTATATGCTCGATCACATTGAGGACAACAGCGGCTGACCCATAAATTTTCATAAGCATGGGCAAAAAATAGTTCCAGGAAATATTTAACATATTGCGCAAAGTATTTATATTAACAATTAAATAAATCGTTAAAATAATCGAGTGTTGAGGGTTCTCTATTTAAATTGTCATTGACTTGATGCTAAAAAAATGAAATTGAGAATGATTATTTTATTTTGTATTTTTATTATTATTAAGAAATATATATACCAAAAAATTACAATCCTTTTCCCATCATTTTTTGTAATAAGAAATAAACAAGTCATTCTGAAATATAATTTATTAATTTAAGAAAAGTCTAAATGTCATTATTTTGTTTTTGTTATTTTATAAAGATTTTTTTATGGATTATCTTCTTATAGATAATTTAGAGTTTTTTATTATTAATTTCCAACGCTTTGTAATTCTATAGGTTAGTCCATACAAATATAGATCTTTATCCAGATCTTTCAAATTTAAAACGCTTGGGTAACTTAAATCGTAAATATATATTAAAAGTCAATAACATTTGTATATATTATCATTTCTTATACTTAAATTAGTCATATTTTGACAATATATAATTTGACATTCATATTTTATATATAAATTAAAATAATTATATCTATATGATCTCTATCAATAAAATATTAAATATTTATCAATTATAATTTAAAACCAATAAATTTATCTATTAAGCTTATTATATGACATAAGTACTAAAAACGTTATAATATAATATCGTGGAATCTGACCAGTGAGGTGTATCAATTTAAATATAAACAATAATGTTATTTTGTAAGAATTATTTAAAATTTTAAACTAAAAACTTGTATTTATATTTTTACACATATTAAATATAATTTTTAATTAGCACAACAAATTGAGCCTAGGTAATTGTCTAGGCTCGCCTGCATCTCGATCTGCCCCCTGACTCAATATAAGACTAGTTATTATGGGCTATCATATGTTTCTTTTGCATGTTCCAAACTTGATAAGTAATATGAGGCCAGTCACAATTTGGGTTTTATATGGAGTTGGAGGCATATTTTAATCACACCTCAAATAAGAAGATATCTATGTGAAGCCTTTGGTATGATGGGCTTGGTCCGGAGGTTGACGTGAGTAGGGTCGCAAACGAGCCGAGTCGAGTCGAGCATTGGCTTTATCGAGCAGGATTAATTTTTTTTTAGCTGCTCGAGCTCGATTTTTTAGGCTAGAGCTCGACTCATAAAAATTTACGATAGCTCGAGCTCGACTCGAAATCAAAATGCTCGAGTTTGGCTCGAAAATTTTTATGTGAAAAGGTAAAATTATAATTAAGCACCTATGCTAATATATATATATA